CTTGCACGATACTCGACGAAATGGTTGAAACCGATGAACATTCTGATTTTTTTTTTGCAGGAACCGGAGGTGCGACTTTTTGTTTATTACCAGATGACGTAGTGGCTCCGCCACTACCATCACCGCCACCTCCACCTCCACCTCCTCCTCCAGTATCTGTACGCATTAGGACATCATCAGCGTCACTGAATATTGCACTGTCCCTGAAAACTTCCTCGCCATCAACGTCAACATAATTCTCAATAACTTCAAATGATCTCTCGTAGAAACTGTCGGTCTCGCTTTCACGACAATTAGTTCCTCTGGAAGATCCCTCCTCGTCCTCCTCCTCTTCATCATCGTCATCATCATCCTCGTCATCATCATCATCATCACCATCATCATCTTCTTCTTCTACCTTATCCCTTTCATTATTTTCTTTCACTTTTTCCTTTATTTTTCTTGTCTCCTCGTTACCATTGCGTTTGTTTTCAGCAAAGAGGACAGTAGGATCCGCATAATCGGATTGCGCTATACGTGCACCCAAACTAGAACTTCCTTGTTTATAATACAATGATGGTATCCTATAATCGGATGGTCCACCAGTTGCTGGTACACAACCAACAAGTTCTTCGATGTCAGATGAACTTTCTCTAGAATGTTTGGATTTGCCCTTTCTTTTTGATTTTCCATTGCTCAATGAACGAAAATATTTAGTTCTTTCTATTTCTTCGCTACACTCAAGGGTTTCGGTGCTAAGAGTATTCCTGAGACCTTGCAAACGACTACCGGCCTTCGACAATACGTTCTTAAATCTAGTACTACCATTAGCCCTATAGATTTTGTGATCTGGATGAATGTTGGTTGTAGTAGGTGAGGAGACCATGTGAATCTCAGAATATGCATCTGTTAAAGTATCATCGAGGGAACAGAAAAATGTCGACGTTGAAGTAGAAACTGATGTTGGAAATTTGGCAATTCTACCCTCGGGCTGACAACTCGAAGCGTATCTTTCCATATCCTCGAGATTTATCTCAGCGGGTTTGTCCGAGGCTATAGTGAAGGGTCTTTCGGTCATTGGTTTTCCATCTCTTTGAAGAAATCGTGATTTGGTAACGCTAAGTTGTGAGTTTGGATTGATTTGAAAGCTACGAGGTAAGGATCCACATTTTTGGGGTGAAGTTGGTAAACCTTCACAGAGTTTGGTCAACCAAACGGCCGGTCTCGTTGGACTGTCACTTCCATTAACGTCTTGTTCCTCTTTAAGACCATCCCAAACATGTTGAAGATTATCATAATTACCAAAACCTTTTGATTCGTCGGTCTCCTTTATGATATCCTGTTGTTGATCTATATCATTGATCTTATCTTTTCGTTCGGGACTAAGTTCAACTTCGTTAGCCTTCTCCGAATAATCCTGATCGTTAGTAGTACGTATAGTGGTATCGTTTGAATCGTCATTGGCGGACGTTGAGTTCTCTCTAATTCTCAAAGCTGTCTTTATTATCTTACTTTCGGTAACGATACTTTGTCTTTTAAAGGCTTCGAAAAGGGCTCTCTTTTCGTGTACACGATTTACATTGTTCTTTGTATTCATTGTCTCGTGTACGCTTGTCGTTTTACCATCCGAGGATTTTAAATTATCATAGAGTAACCTAAGTGCAGGCTGTGGCGTGTTGTCACGTGTATTATTAACCGTGGACAATGAGTTCCATGCGTTGTTAGTTCTCACCAATCTTTGGGTTTCACGATGAGACGATGTACGGACACGATTGTTCAAAGTTCCACCAACGTAATTAGCGTTCTCGCAATCACTCTCGTCCGAAGTGTCGGCTGATATTCTCTTGTTAAATCTTTGCTGTTGTCTAACGTTTATGCTACTACTAGTCCTTTGCTTTTCCAATAACTTTTGAAATTCTTGATTTTGCATTAAAATATGACCAACTATTTCCTCAACTGTTTGGGCCACTGCCGGTGTAGTTGCCGTTTGTAGTTGTTCATTGTTCTCTTTGGTTTCAACTTGTTGAGAATTTGTTGGTTTATTATTATCCTCATTGCTTGTATTGATCGTACGATCTGATTCAACTAATGTCGTTTCCATATCAGCTGTTACCTCTTTCTGATCCTCGTCCGATTGATTCAACGAAACGTAAGATTGAAATCCCGGCTCTGATTTTCTTCTCCAACCGGTGAAGCGATCCTTTAAAAAACAAAAAAAAAAGAGAAAATAAAAATAAAAACAAATTCAGACACGTTCAACTTTATCATATATTATTATATTGATAATTAAATAATATACAAATGTAAAATATTTATACCTTTACTTTGAGAGTACGCCCGTCGGTACACCTGTTAAGATTTTGATCTCTCGAGTCGTGCATTTCAGTCTCGTTATTAGGATTTTTCCTCAATGATGCCGGCGAATCCTGAATAATCAATATATTTGAATTTATTCTTTTTTTTTTTTTTTTACATATTCTCAGATTTAAATAATGTCGATGACGTTGATAAAAAGCAATGATTTTTTTTTATTTCTTTTTTTTTTTCTTCCCCTTACCTCTGTGGTAGTGATGGCAGGTGATTCCGATTTTCTTGTATTTTTTTTGAACTTATGCCTAATACCAGTTTCTGATCTTCTTCTTTCTCTTTCTTGCTTACGTTTCTCTAAATATTCCGGCGGTGCCGAGTATAACTTTTTCGCCGAGCTTTTGTCAGTCGTAGAATCGTCTGTAATTATATTAATCATAATTAATAAGAATTAAAGTCACCGAATTAAAATCTTTTTCACTCTCTCTCTCTCTTTCTCTCTCTGTGTAATAATTTTACCTTCGTGTTGAGTCTGACCAAGTTGTAGAAACAGTTGCCTAGCATGAGAAGGTATAACAGCATTGTAATTTTCAAGGATTACCCTTTTTATTTGCAAGGTCCATTCTCTCTTTTGTTCCAGGTTGCGTGCCTAATAAGAGAAAAAGAAAAAAAAAAAAAAAAAAAAGAAAGGATTAATTACTCCTCTTATTTTCATAAAAATTATTTCCAACCGTTTGTTTTCCCTTTTATTTACCTGCAATGTATATTGCAACCTTGGATTATCGAAGGGTATCACATGAAAGCTTAATGGTTCTCCTGGGATACTTTCGATCAACATCAAATTGGAACACTGTGCGAAAGGATTGGTATTATTTATCAAATATTGAAATATATATTCGATTTGGTTAATATCTAAATAAATAAAACTATATCTAATATGTTTAAAAATTTTAATTATATTAAAAATTATAATATGATTATTAATTTATTGACTAATAATAATTAAAATATAGAGAGAAGAGATTAGAAGAAAAAAAAAATATATATATATATATGATTTTTTATATTATTAGATCTATTCATCATGGAATTAGGATTTATTTTTAGGATTGATATTCTCATTGGATTGATAATATATATCCCAATTGATATATAAAATCATTTAGGAACATTTGAACCAATTGTTTTATATCATTATATATTAGAATATATAATTTTACCATGATATGAGCCTTGTAGACCAATAAACCATCTTCCTTCTTTTTTGTAAGGAGTAACATCCTGTCAAAGAGAAAAGCATGTCTCGGTGCTTTAGCCCCTCTCATTCTGAAGCGACCTTCAGCTATAAGTTCACCGCTGGTAGTTAAATCCGGTCCAGACCATCCATAAAGTAGCGATTGAATCTCTTGAACTCTTACTGCGTGCTCGTGTCTTCTCTTCATCGCGTTAATATGTTTTGCGATGCCAGTCATAGCTGCTAATGCACCCTCGATTGCACTTCTTCCTTCTGCCTCGTTTTCTCTTGCGTCACAGCCTGCCCCATATTCCTTCGATAAATTCTGCAAATTTATCGACAAAAATGTATACTCATTCGATCATTGCGAATTTAATTTTGATTGATTCAAAATAAAAAAAAAAGGAAAAATAAAAAAATTTATATATTTTTTTTTTTTTTTTTTTTTTTTTTTTTTTTTTTTTTTTTTTTTTTTAAGAGACCAATCCAATTTTATATTATTATTTGTTTATAAATGTTTTACCTCTAGCAACAAGTGATATTTAAGAATCCTTTGAACAGGCTTCAACAAAAATGATCCCAAAGGTAACGCGTGATCTAAAGCTGCCTGTCTTTCTCTAAACGCTTTGGCCATTTCCTCTTGTCCCATCAGATCGGTTAATACAGAGACAGTTCTATAAAATTTTATCATACAATACTTTTTCCCCCTTATTTTTTTTTTTGAGAGTGTAGAGTAGGGGCGGGGGTGGAAGAATATTAGAAAATTCTTTGATAGAATATATATAGATCGACACGTTCCCACTTACCTGGGATAATTCGTACAGTATTCGGTATAAACCTTAAATCCTGAATTATGCTTGATGAAAGTGTTAGCCACGCAAACTGGATCAAAAGCACATTTCTCGATTTCTTTTAGGAATTCTCTGAAATGCACGTCATCGAAGGGTCACGCGTTTTTTTTCTTTTCTTTTTCTTTACTTTTTTTTTTTTTTTTTTTAGGAAATATTATTCCGTAATTTCGTTCGTTAAATATTACCAATGAAGATTATTATATACCTGTTGAACTTGAATATATCCTCTATATTGCTGAACAAGTCGCTTAGTTGCAATTGATGTACAAACGACGTGGGATCGTCTCTCCAAAATATGAGATAGCCCTATTTAAAAAAAGACAAAAAAAAAAATAAGAAAAAATATACCCTTTAATATCGTTCTTTATTTAATCTTTCTTTCTCTTTCGAGAGAGAAAGAGAGAGAGAGAGAGAGAGAGAGAGAGAGAGAGAGAGAGAGAGAGAGAGAGAGAATGTGAGAAAAAAGACAGAAAGAAACCTCAGAATAATATCCAATTTACCTGTATAACTTGTCGCAAGTGTTCAACATATATTGCTTCGGTATCGACGATTTCAAGCAATACTCTTTCCACGGGATTACGATGAGGATCGCAATAACGTGGTCGATGGGAGGACGTGTCTCCTTCGGCACTGTCCCTTCTTTGACCATTGGTAACATTACCAATACGACAGCTGGCTTCGGATACCGTAACCACACCGCTATCACCTGAACCTAGAAATAAAAGGATGGAGGGGTAAAGAAAAAAAAAACAATAAATATATATATAAATAAATAAATAAGAAAGGATAACATCGCTGATCAATCTCTCGGAAGATCACGAGAGAACGTATTTAATTATTTAATTTGTAGGTATTCCCAATGTATATCAAAATTATTGGATACCTTGAGAACTGGCACAGGTATCGGCTAATGATTCGACAGAAGCCAAATATGGATTAGTCGCAGACGATGGATTTCCCTGATTGCTACAGCCACTTGACGATGTACTAGAGGCTATCGAACTACCAGACAATGGTCTTCCACTTCTACATCTTCTTTTATATCTGAGCTGAGTAAGCGTTCCTCCATTGGAGTTCTTGCTATTATTTGTTTCTTGTACATAAGAATTCTTCTTCTTCTTATCGTTTTCCACGATAACGTTGATCGACAATCTATTTCCATCATTTTCTTTTTCTACTTTGACGACCTCCTTCCTCTTTCTTTCTCTTTCTCTCTCCTCCTCATCCTCCTCTTCCTCCTCCTCTTCGTCCTCCTCCTCGTCGTCGTCCTCGTTCTCGTCATCATCGTCGTCGTCGTTATTGTTGTTGTTGTTGTTGTTATTTTTATTGTTGTTATTGTTGTTGTTGTTGTTGCTGTTGCTGTTATTGTCGTCGTCGTCGTTGTCGTCGTCGTCGTCTTTGTTGTTGCGAACAAGATGTTGAGTTACCACAACGTCTATCGTACTTTTCGTATCCGTATCTTTCGTTCTCTCACACATATCCTCGCTCTTCTTATCCCGATGACTATTATTACTATTACTATTACTACCGCTATTACAGCTACTACCTTTCTTCGTAGCCTCCCCACAAAGCTGACCGAATATGGAACCTCGTTGTGAGTGCGGTACCAAACTCAATCGTTTCTGCAAAGCCGCTGGTATATTACAAGACGCTGAGAGGACTACTTGGTGATCTTCGTAACCATTTCCACGACGTGCCAGCTCGTCGAACATTCCCAATAATTGTGGCACCAGGTCCGTACTCGTACCTGAAATTTAATATTTCCTTTTTCTTTCTTTCTTTCTTTTTCTTTTTTTCTTTTTTTTTCCTATTTTATTTAAGATCTCGATCGATTAAGTAAGTTATCGAATTATTAGATTTATTAGGTTAGATGATTTAGACTTAGCACAGTTTTCTGGGGTTTCTTTGTTTGGTTTTGTTTTTTTTGGGGAGGGGGCGGGTGGTGCGGCTTTATGGTATATATTATATATTTGGGGATTTTGTTCTGTTTTGTTTTATTTTTGTTTCTTTTTTTTTTTAAAGATAAGTTCAGTTTATATGTGAAAAAAAAAATATATATATATAATAAAAGAATATATCTTCAGAGTTTTCACTTAGATTATCGTCACAATTTTTACATTATTATATTTTTCATTATTATTATATTATTATATTATTATATTATTATATCGTGTGTCGTAGTCAATATATTTTATTTTATTTTATTTTATTTTAATTTTTTTTACGTGTCCCGAATGACAAACCCATTTATATATCATTCTATTCGATATATTTAACAAAACATCTGACCATATAATTGTCGCAAGTAAATTAAAAAAAAAAAAAAAAGAGAAATTGTACCACCTACTTTTCATTATTTATTCATTGTATTACCGTAATCAAACGAAAAAAAAAAAAAAAAAAAAGAAAGAGACGAAGGAAAAAACCAAATTCTACCCATAAAAATTCTCCAAACGTATTCCATAGAATACAAATCGCAGATTAATTTCAGCATCAACGAATCGTGCCCCAATGGAAGAAAGAAAAAGGGACATCAAAGCGGAGACAACCAACAATAAGAAAAATAAGTAAGAGAAACTTCCCTATTAAGATGAGATGGGGTTGGAAAGAGAGAGAGAGAGAGAGAGAAAGAGAGAGAGAGAGAGAGTGGGGGAGGGGGGTAGCGATGGAGAGATGGGTATGGGGAAGAGTGAAATTTAATCGCTAGTACGATCATCGACCAATTAACACGGGACTAGTTTATCGGTGTTAAAACATTATCGTTGAATAAATTATAATACACGCATATATATATATATATATATATATATATATCATTCGCATTAACTCTTTCTTATATATATTGCGTACAGAGTACGCAGCACGCACGCACGCACGCACAAGCTTGGCCGAGTCTCTCGTCTGCGGCCGCACGATTGCTGGACTTGGTTGGACAAACAAACGAGCAGGATGATGGTTTCCAATTTCCTTGGCGGCAGACGTGAAATCAACGTTCTCCAAGTTGGCGGCGGCGGCGGCGGCGGCAGAGGCAGAGGCAGAGGCAGAGGCAGTGCCGGCGACTGCATCGATGCGTTTCTTGCGTTCCCGCGTATCCTTTCCCTCTAACATGATATATACATATATAATATATAATATATATAGCGTGTCTATATATATATATATATATATATATATGCGTACTATATACACATATACTATATATTAACCGCGCCATATTTGTGATCTCAATCTTCTTTTTTTTTACTACATTACGATGGAACGCAAGAGTTTTATACAAACTGTATCTCTAAGCCGCATTTCTTTATTATTATATTCTTTATTTATTTAATTCTTTATTATAGAAATTCAATCATTAGTCTTCTGTTTTATATTTGTCGTTTTTTTTTTCGCTGTCGTTCTTTTTCTTCGTTTTATTATTATTTCTTTTTTTTTTTTTTTTTTTTTTTCTTTTGGATACGAAAAAGAGAGGTGACGGAAAGGGGGCGAGAGAGAGAGAGAGAGAGGATGAGATTGGATCTTCGATTTAGATCACACGTACGCTCGTGTAAAACGTTCATTTTATTTTATTTTATTTTATTTTATCTTATTTTTTTTTTTTTTTTTTTCTTTTAGATTCGCGCGTTAAAATTATAATTGAAAAGCTTGGCTTTACGTATTTTTGTAGATTCTAATTTCGACAGAATGGTAATTCTATTTTGGTTCTATTTTTTGCTTACAAGTGGATTTTATTTATTTATTCTCTTATGATTAATTTTGTAGTTTCTTTTTTTGTTTGCTTGTTCTTTTCTATTTTTTTTTCTTTTTTTTTTTTTACCTTGAAGTTACATTATATACGAGATACTTTGAGCGATCATCATTTATACGGTATGAACAATTTTGTTTTCAAAAAAAATACCGTATATGTTCTACGAAGTCTCGAAAATAATGACCAGTAGGTTTGATGAACGCATTTCCAATTTTGTCATCAGAAAAAAAAAAGAACAAAAAAAGAAAAAAAAAATAATATTCATGAATCACATGCGACGCAGAAATTGTTTTAATCGAGATCAAAGTTGATCCGATCTGTGTATAGTATCATCCTCTGTAGACACAACCAGGATTAAATTGCAACAGAGAGATTTACTTTTAAGAAACACCCGGTAGATATATCTATTCCTCTAATGCAGAACGTAAGTACACGTTGTTCTTTGAAACGCGAACTATCTCCGCATGACTTTCTTTCTCTTCTTCGTTCTGGTTAACGGCCTCGATCTTCAACTTCTTGTGTTAGATATCTTTTATGATACATTAGAACTTTTAATCCGCGCACACGTATGTACGTATATATACGTACAATGCCGCGTGCTCGCGCACATTGATATACGTATTTTCATAATTCTTTTCCTTTTTTTTATTTTTTTTTTTTTTATCCATTCAACTTTTATCGATCATCGATCGATCATAGAGATTGATCATCGATCAATCGATTCTATGATACTTTTGTACAACCTGACACGGTTTTTTTTCTCTTCTTTTTTTTTTTTTTTATTATTTTCTTTTTCTTTTCTTATTTTTATTCTTCTCTTTTATCGATCGTAAATTTTATATTAAACATTTAATATTTATATCCGTACTTTTAATTGTAAAGCTACGAAACATTAATATATATATATATATTAATATATATATATATATATATATATATATATATATATATGTATATATTTAATTCAATTTGATTTATGTTCAGTAAAGAGGGGACAGTAATAATAGAGATGTGCAATAATATGCAATATGCATTATACAATGAGATATACGTTAAAGAATTATTTCTTTATAAAATTTTATTATTATTAAAAATTACGACGATATATATTTAATAATTGCGTAAAAATATTTCTAATAATGAGTATTATTTAATAATATTTAATAATTATTTAATTTGATATATTTAATAAATTTTATAAGAAAATAATATAAATCACGCGTTGATAAGATCTTAAAGTTATGAAAATTTTTTCATTGTATTTAGACGATTCTGAATTTAATTTTCTTCCTTTTACTTTTATTTTTATCACCCTCATTTAAATATATTCACGTAATAATTAACGGAATATTTATAATTTTCGAATTATTTTATCTACGATTAATATTATGTCCTTATTATTTTATATTTCATTTAGACACTGAATAGATTTCTACATCGTGTAATAGAAAAAGGGTTCTTAAAAAATTCAACGTCAAATTTAGCTATGGAAAATTGATAATCGAGTATCGTTCTAAACGTTCGATCATGCGTTACGATATTTTGCATTTTGCAAGAAAAAGAAAATGAAGATGAAAATGAAGAAGACGAAGACGAAGAAGAAGAAGAATAAGAAGAAGAAGAAGATGATGAGGAAGCTGCGCGTTAATGATGATGCCAATGTAGAAAGAAAAGGAAAGAATAAAATTGAAAATAAAAATAAATATAAGGGAAAAAGAGGCAAAAAGAAAAAAAAGAAAAAGAAAAAGAAAAAGAAACAAACAAAAAGGAAACGAAGTAAAGTTTGCAAAAGGAAGAAATGAAGAAACAAAGGAAAAAAATTAGATTGAAGGCGCCAAACACGGATGTCCGTGCATTTGCTCGATCGAGTCTTCTAAACGACGTTATCAAGATGGCCTTGATTTAATTGGACGCCTTCATATGTTGTATATATATATATATATATATATATATATATATATATATATATATATATATATATATATATATATATCTTAGGCTTAGTTTCACCGGTATGTTCTTAGCAAAGAAACCGGCTACGATTTAATGACGTGAAGTTAACTTATCTGTTATAGCAACGTCTTCGATGCTTTTCTGGATTTTATGCATTTAGTATTTCGCATGTTACACGAATTACTTTATTTCATGTGTTAATACTTTTTTCTTTTTTTTTTTTTTTTTTTTTATAAGAAATAAGAATCATTGCTTCAATTATTTTTTTGCTCTCTTTTTTTTTCTTTTTTTTTTTTTTGCGACCAACCACACCAAGCAAATTGTGCAATGATCGATCCAATTTTCTTCTTTTATTTCTTTTTTTTTTTTTTTAATTTTAAAAACAATTCCGTTGAAATGAGCGATTTTTTTTTTTCCTTTGAAAATGATTGATCTACTTGTAATTATAGTTATTATTATTTTTTCGTAAGGAAATTCACATTTCTTAAATATTTCTTTTCTTTCCTTTTCTTTCTTTTTCTTGTATATGTATTTTAATACTGCTTGATATTAGAATAAATCGAGAATGTAATAAATGTTTGTTTTCATTCTTAAAAAAAGGAAAAGATTTTTTATATTTATATTGATTATAATATATTGGAGTTTAGAACGCGTATTTCTTAGAACGTGTATTAGAACTGTAAAAAGTTTCTAATATATATGTCTCTCTCTTTCTTTCTTTCTTTCTTCTTTCTCTTTCTTTCTTCTTCGTCCTATTTGCCTAAACGCGAATGCAGAAGCTTAGGGTTACAACGTGCAGTCGATGCACTTGGCTGGGGCTACTCTAATAATAGGACTAGAGGACCAACTTTCGTCGCTTCGTTTCTTAGCCAGCTTGAACACATTTTCAAAATCGTATTTTGAAGGAACTCACGAATATTTTCTTCGTTTCCTTTACTATGTTCAATCGTGGATTTAGACGTATTAGAGATTGACAGATAATTTAGATACATAAAATGTATAGATGAATATTAGTTTTATAAATTTGAAAAAAAGAGAAAAAAAAAAGAAGAAGAAAAATGGATCAACACGGGAAAAAGATCTCGAAGAAGGAATAATTAATCGTTTTTTTTTTTTTTTTTTTTTATAAATAATCAATAGAAATTATCGCGAATCAATTTATACACCTTTCTTATTATTTCTCAGAAAAATACGTGCGCACGAAACTTCTATTCAACATTCTCTTGATCGTAGATTTGATAAACCAATACTATGAAAGAAGAATTTGAAGTTGGTCGTAAAAATTTTCTACAAAAAAAAAAAAAAAAAAAGAAGAAAAAAGAAAAATAAAGAAAAAGAAAAAATCATTGACATGTCAATTGAAGCACATCTTTTTTTGACCTACCCCCTTTATACATCCAACCCTATATGGAAAATTTTGTCATACATATGCATATATATATATGTATATATATATATATATATATATATGCATATGTATGACAAAATTATATATATATATATATATATATATATATTTTCAAAAGCAACAAAGATATTTTAAGTTATCCGGTCAGCTGAAGCATCCTATACATATACATATACGTACATATATATATATATATGTATATATCTCTTTCTCTCTCTTTCTTTTTCTGTGTGTATGTATATGTATGTGTATGTTGAAACTGCGGGTGGAACGGCCGATGGTTGTTGCTGGCCACTTGAATATTCTCCCCCTCCACACCCCATCCTTACCCGTTACTACCCTCTCTCTCTCTCCTTCTCTTTCTCTCTTTCTCTCTCTCTCTCTCTCTCTCTTTCACTTGGACCAAAGCCGAGGCCGTATTGCTTTTCGTCAATGAACGAAACGTTTTCCTTCTTGCTTCTCTTTTTCTCTTCTTGGTTATTTTTACTCATCTCGTAAATCGACAAGATCCCTTCCT